GGGAGGAAGGAGAGGGGTTTGGTTGATGGGCTTGGGGTTTTTTGATGATGGATGATTCTTTTTGGTTTAAGCGATACCCTTCTTGATGCCTTGTTGATTCGCTTCTAAATATCTTTCGTGGTATATATCTTTTTGTCTGCAGCGTGGACTGCAGTTGCCATTTGAATGAACAAATTGGTGTCACCCTTTGGCTTTCGAAGTGTTTATGTGCTACATTGTGCTTAAGTCTTGTCCAAGTTCCCGTCTGTCTAAGCTAGAGAACGACATTATATAGCCGCGTCTTTGCAGTTGGAGGCTGGCATACCTTACTATAAGTTCGCACTGACGCGACGCCAACGGGATCGCTGTTCATGAATATCAAGAGGCACACCCGATGTAGCTCGATCTACGGCAGTCCTTCACGCATACCTCGATTGCCATTAGTCGGGCACGTATTGATGAAGAAAGATAGTCATCGACACACTCACATCGTCGCACAGATCAACAGCAATACCATCATGAAGAAGATTCTAGGTTCCGTATTGAGAGTAGAAAAGATCTATCATAGGAAAAGACCAACCGGACTCCACCCATGCTTGACATTCATTCGTGCGTAACATCCCTTTCGCAATCCCTTCCTTCCAAAGTAAGTTCCCCGTGCTTTCGTTACCATTACCAATCATCAGGTCGTAAGGAGGGTATCGAAATGCGCTAGACATATCCCGTGCAGAGAGGTTCATGTTTGCTCGCTTGCCCAAAGTACTCCAATGTTTCAAGGTGTACGAGGGTTCTTCGCGAGTTTGCTCAGGGCGCCGAGAAGACCTGCAGGGTATGTTAGTGAAGTCTTGTTAAAAAAAATCAAGAATGCGAACTTACCGGTTGCGCCGTTGGGCAATGTCGACATGGCGATGGAGTTGCGATCACCGACGGTAACGGTCTGGACGTTGGGAACCTTCCATTCCTCCTTCAGCTGCTCTGCCCATCGGAAAACACCCTCGTCACTCCGGTCGTTTCCAGCCGCGAACACAAAGTCAGGTCGGCCCTTCTCAGGGTACTTGCTGAAGATGTATTGCGAAGCAGAGGCCTTGTCGAAGTCGATGGGCTCGATGACAACTGAGTCCTTGGTGGGAACCGCCTTTATGCGCTGCTGCTCGCATGCATCGTTAATGTGGTTGGCACAGTCACCAGCATGTCGGCTTGCGGAATCATCCTTGTCGTTGGGCGCTCTGTAGTGGAAGATCATGGAGCAATGGCGCTCTTCAACCCAACTACCCTCGACACGCTCGAGATAGTACTGCAAGATGGGCTTGACGGAGTCTTTCCACTTCACAGTCTTCTCTTCGTCGGGGAATTGTATCCACTCTTTCGCGCTGGGCTCGCGCAAGAAGCAACCGTTCTCCGCGATGAGACCGAGACCTCGCACGCGGTTAAAGATGAGCTCAGTCTCTCGAACAGTACGTCCAGTCATGACGTAAACATCGTTCTTGTCATCAGCAACAAGGTCGTTCAGCACGACAATGACACGCTCGGTGTTCGCCAGGACGGTGTTGTTAACAGATCCGTAGGATGCGAGGGTGCCTTCGTAGTCGAGTACAAAGAGTCGTCGCTGAGATGCCTGGTAGGTACGCGCAAGATTGCTGGACGAAAGACGGGGAATGGACATGGTGTCGCGCTTGAACTGCTCCTCGTGGACCTTTGAGAGATGGCAGCTGAGGTTGTTAACCCAGAAGTCGCCAGTCTGGTGCATAACCGTATCGCGCAACTTGGTATATCTGCGTTCCTTTTCGGAATCAGTCATCTCCAAGGCGACCTTGAACGCTTGTGCGATGCTGTTGTAGTCCCAGGGGTTCACAGCGAGGTCGGCACCTTGGAAGACTGAAGCACTTCCGGTGAACTCACTGAGGATAACAGGACCGTGCTTCTTTGGACTCGCGCGACCATCCTGGCAGATGACGAATTCGTGGCAAGTAAGGTTCATGCCTTCACGAAGACTAGTAATCGCGAGGGCATCGGCAATGGAAAGGAGCGCGAGATATTGCGAAAAGGCGATATCCTGCCTCAGGAAGACGAGAGGGTTATGCGTCAAGGTTGAGTGAACCGCGTCGATACGAGTGACGATCTCGGAGACGGTCGCAGCGAGTTCAGTATCTTCGGTGGTGGATGTGGCGACTTGGATCATAACAACCTTGTCTTTCCACTCGGGGTTCTTGTTGAGGAACAACTCGAACGCTAACAGCTTCTGCCTGACACCACGGATGTTGTCGAGCTTGTCGCGAGCAACGATGACCTTCTTGCCCTCGTACCGCTTCTGCATGGTCTGAATCCACTCTAGCACCTCGGGTTCCTCGCGGGCCAGGGCGAGAGCGCGAGGATCAATGCCGATAGGCGATGAGTGTACGTTGACGAAGCGGTTCTCAAGTTGGACACCGTCTTCAGTAGCCTCGACAGAGAGAATTCGACTGCACGTCTGCAGGAAGTGGTGGGAATACTCTGGTGTCTGGAAGGCGACTAGGTTCGCCCCGAGCATGCCGTTGAGCAGCTCCTTCCGCGCGGCCAAGCAGCGGAAGACCTCGGAGGAGGGGAACGCAGTGTGGAGGAAGAAGCCGATCTGTGCATCTGGAAGCTTCTCGCGGATCATCTGTGGGACCAGACACAGGTGGTAGTCGTGGATCCAGATGACATCTCCGCGCTTGTAGTTCTTGACGACCTTGTCGGCAAAGGCCTGGTTGACCTTGACGTAGAAGACCCATGAGTGGTCGAGGAAAGCCTTGCTCTTGGGGTGGTCGGGGATGATGTAGTGGAAGACTGGCCACAGGATGGTCTTGCAGTAGTGCGCATAGTGGCCATCGAAGTCCTTATCGCTGACGAAGACGGTGAGCGCGTCCTGCTCCTCCTCGAGCTTCTCGTAGATCTCCGTCTTCTTCTCCTCGTTCAAGCTGTCTGTGGGGAATCCGATCAAGCCGACGGTGATGGTGTCACTAATACATTTGTTATCCACGGCACAGCGCAGCGCGTTGGTCAGGCCGCCGTTGCCCTGGACAGCTGGCACGACGGAGTACTCGGTGGCCCATCGCGGGTCCGTTGTAGGCTTGCCGGCGTGAGAGCCCTTCATGCGCTCCTTCTGGGCCTGCGCCCGCTCCTGCGCCTTTGCGTATTCGAGGATGGTGTCGGGAGGCGCTGGCTCGGCCCTGGACATGGGCTGGTTGAAGAAGAGACCGGTAGTACCCCATTCGGGGACATGGGCATCGCTACGTACCAGGCCCCGGGGGTCTGCTGGCTTGGGGAAGTGCGTGGCCGCGCTGGGCTGGCCGGGGGTGAAGAAGTCCTCATGCTCCGTCATACGCATGGGCGTCTTGGGCAGCTGGATGTGTGTCGGCGGCGCCCGCTTAAGGAGGCTCGGGGTCTGCTCCTCAGCTGCATTCTTGCTGACGGGCCGCGATTTGGCTATGCTAGTAGCGGAGGACTCGCGGGCGGTCTCGCTCAGCTTCGGGGGCGCGGCGTCTGGCGGGCTTGGGGGGTTGGACTTGGACTCGTGGAAGTCGACGGTATACGGGAGGAAACTAGCGCTGTTAAAGGGCGAACGCGGTGCAGATTGGAATCATAGTGCGCTATCTACAGGGTGATTCAGGCTGACAAGTGAAAAGCGGTACCTACAGGGAGACGACGTGGGTGGTCATGTTGGGCAGCAGTCTGGCGTGGGCGCCCGCTGGTCAGAGATTGAGGTTGTAGAAATGGTGGAGAAATGGCAATCAGATATAGGCGGGAGAAGCGGGTCCTGCGCAATGGCTTGGGGCAGACGAGGTGAAGTTATAGAGGCGGTGGGCGCGCGCAGTGAAATTTCCGGCAGCTTCGATCGATCGTGATGAAGCAGGTAGTAGGGAAGCCGCGCCTTTAGTTACGCGTGTCAGTCGGGGCCCAAGCAAGAAAGTGCTGCCGGCGTGCTGGGCTGGGGGTTGGGCAAATTCAGGATATCTGGCTGCTGTTCCTGGATGAGGCGTGCGGCTTACGGCAAGGGGCGTACTTGATACTTTCGTGTCCATGGCCGCAAATTGCAAGATTTCAGCCCCGCGGTATGACGTACGGCCACACCGGCACGCACAGCGCGTTTGGTGGGCCTCTCCACCGTCGCACTGCAATCAGCGAAGCCCTTGACTCGACGACGGTCATCTTTACGCAAGTTGCACGGAAGACCGCCGTCAGACTGTGCCGGCGCCTGCTCTGCTAACCTGACAGCTGCGGGAGCTTCCCCATTTAGTCGCGCATCACTGTGCCCCGCCCGCCAATTAGACACACGCCGGCTCTTGCAACCGTTGGGGCCATGAACCATAGCCTGCCTCCGTCCTGCGCGCTGAATCTCCCGAAGCCAGTCGCCGTCTGTGCAGCCCGCGCACTTTGCAACCTTCACGTGAAGACTTCCACCTCGATGGGGGTTGGTGGGAAAGTGTTGAGAGCGACTCCAAGGCTAGTGCGCCGTCATGGCATTTCAAAGAATCCGATAGTGCGCGCAGAATTCGATATTGACCTGCAGCGTGGCCCTCCCGCGGCTCACTCCCCCCACATGCTGCTATATTTTCCATGCATGCCGTCTGCAGAGACTTGACGAATCAGCCGTGCTGAACGCGCGCGTGGAATAGACGAGAAGATTGGAGAAATTGCGTGTATGCTGCAGGCCTTGAAACTCTGACCGCGTAGAGCGTCTCACGTATAAATCGAGATATCATGCTATCTGGGACCGACACAAACTTCGCCTCACCCTGCCACGGCCTGTCTCGGCCGCGGTATATGCGCCAACATGATATTTCCTTGACAAACCGAACTTGTCGACTACACAAACACAGAAGACCGTATCGCTAGCTCTTGGTTCATAGAGATGAACGCACATGCATCATGTGAGGAACGTAATCAAGCAAGAATCTTGACTCCAGCATGTAGGCTGCGTTGGGCTGACCGTGACATACTGCATACTACCAGATCAAACCGCAATATGTATATTTATCTCAACAGTAGAATCACATCTCAGATCAAGCCTTCCTCGAAGCCTTCTTCGGAGCCTTCCTACCCTCAATCTCCTTCCTACTCTCCGCCCCCTCCCCAGGCACACCAAGCCCCACCAAATACGCCGCCCTCACAAGCACCGGCAGCACATTCAGCGAATTAGTAACAACATCCTTCTGACTCCAGCTCCCCAAATCCAACACCCCCCTCGTCCCCATCTCACACCAAGCCGCATAACAATGCCCCAAATCACACAGTATCAGCCCCAGCACAATCCACCACCACGTCTTCCGATCTTTCACAACGCGCATCAACACGCCCTCTGTGAAGGCGAAGAAGAGGTATGCGGATGCGAGCTGGTCGTATGCGATCTGCGAGTCGGGGTGGTACGCGGATGTGGACGGCATGAAGGTGAAGTACTCGGCGGGCGCCCAGTGGAGGTGGTATGTGCCGCCGAGGGCGAAGATGGGCTCGAGGTAGAGGTGCCAGAGGAGGTAGACGAAAGGCGTGTTTGGGGGCGCCATGGCGGGCTGTGTGGCTGCGGCGTGGGTAGGAGGTTATGCGTGGCGTGGCTCCTGCGAGGCAGGGTTCGTGCAAGGGATGGTCGCTCGTTCCGTTGTGCTGGGTACAGTGAGGGTCTGGGATCGGATCTACGTGATGCGACGCGGTATTATGAAGCGCGCGATTTCCGTTTCTTCGCAGGATATGAATCAACTTATGCGACACCAGCGCGCTCTGGTGAACAGTGTTGATGACGTAGCTTAACAGCCCGCAATGCGAGGGTTCCGGTCACAGGGACAAGGGCATGCCAAGTTGCGGAGCGCCTGACCCTGCTACCACGGCAAGTAGCGGGCGGACGAGCAAAACGAGTCCGGAACATGCCAACACTGCAATCTACACTTGTTGGTAAACTGCCTTGTTGGGAAGTGTGGGCATGAAACGGACTTCCGGTGAAGATATGGTGATCGTCTCCCTTCGTTTCACGTCTGGCGGCGTGGGTGCGAGTAACTTTTGGGTAACGAGGGGTTAGAGGTCGAGAATAGGTACTGGTAGACATGTCACACGCGCGACTTACAGGCGGCACTGACAAGTCTACATGACAGCTCGGACAGGTGTAATAAGAAGACGTCAAAGCGGAGAAGCGCGGTATAGACCGTGGACAGTGTTGTAAGGTAATTACAAAATTAATTGACTCGCTCTATGGTCCAGCAATGATGCGCATGGATCGTCGAAATAGATTATAATAATACATATCCGCCCAAAAACACGAAACGCTCCAAGAATGTAAAACTCCTTTCCTCCAAGCTGATTTCGCCCTGTGCATGTAGTACCCCAGCATGCGCCGATGAGAGGATGCTACCTGTCTGACTCCTGTTGCCCGACACGTCTTGTGACTGACCGGTGCGTGTTGGCCCATCTCATCTCACTACTTCGCGTTTTGTCGTATTTCTGGTTGACCAGGAACGTCGCTGAGCTCTGTAATCGCCCGCGAGTCGTCGATCGGCTTGTGGTGGCGATGCACATCCCGGAAGCGACTGTCCGACATGTTTGATGGACATGACATACCGCCTGACGGGTTGAAAGCACGGGTATGATGCAGGACGGCAGCGGACCCTGCAGGTGACAAAGGGTACCGTGGAACCTGGGGACCAGACCATTGCCCCGGGTCCACGACATCTTGTATTCCCAAATGCGTCCATCATTCCATCCTACCCTCTTGCACATACACGTTGTGAGGTCCCGCACCGCAGTGCAACGCGCCGCTCGCCAGCTGTGTGAACTTCGGGTCAATAACATCGACAAGACAATGTTCGACAAAGTACCGCGCCGCGAGTTCGTTCGCTGCCAGCATGCTTGGGCAAGTCCCTACGACCTTTGTATCCTCGCCCAGATCGCGGTTCTTGCTGCTGACGACCACATGATACGCTGACCGGCCGTCATGCGCCCGCGGAATCAGCTTCTGCGAATACAAGGCATCGCGCAGGGCGAGCGGGTATGTGCTGATGTCGCCGGGGACGATGGCGGGTTCGGGGCGGCGATGGACGAGCTGCGGTGCGGCGGCCTGGAGGGGAGGGGGCTGCGACGCCTGGGAATAGGGATGAGGCTGTGGGTATGCCTGAGGAGTTGGGGGCGCTGGGCCGCTGACTACCGACGAGGTAGGAGCCAGCCGCGGTTGCTGCTGCTGATGCCGGAGCAGGAAGTCGCGATGCTCGTCGAGTTGTTTCCGCAGGGCGTCGCTCGTGGTCTGGAAGATGCGCTCCTGGACGCCTGGCCCGAGGTTGCGCGAATAGTGTCGCAGGTCGGCGCTGCAGTCGAGCTGCAAAAGGCTGTGTTGGCGATCTAAGCCATGCGAACGTGCTGGTGCTGTTGCGGTCATTTTCAGAGGGGCGGTTTGCGCGACTGGACACGGTTATAGTAGATGGTGATGAAAATCTGATATGATGTGCATGACGCGGATATTCGCAAATCTTGGAAAGGCCCGGAGCCATTCCCTCCCGTATTCGCGTCTCCACGTGATCTGGCGTGGCAGTATCACGACGCGAGGTGTGTGTTATTGCTTTTGTGCTATTGTATCGAAACTTATTTTTGTTATACGTGTTGGTGCGTAGCTGTGCTACAGTACATCTGGGCTTCTGCGCCAGAGCTATTCCTTGTACATGGGTCGTTACATGACGTCGTGAGATCGGTGGGCGTGAACATGAATAGAAACTGACGATGCTGCCGGGATACTCCTCCAACAAGATCGCGCCGAAACTCCATCAGTGCCCACCGTGAAACGCCATGATAACAAAAAGGAATCAACCCACTATTAGTTCTCGTTAGAGAAACACCATACAAACATACCCCTGATCGTCATGTAAACATCGCCTAGGCGAAACCATCAACAGACCTTACGCGACTGTTATTGTCGTTACTAGGCGGCCGGAACTCCGAGTGTGGGACGATAATCCCACTCCGTGAAGCTAAAGTCGACGCAGTTGACAAGTCTCAGAATCCGCCGCCGAATGCCTCGTTGGCCTCTTGCTGGAGGACGTCGTAGTACTCGCAGAGGTCAGGGAAGGCCACTATGGTCTGCTTGACCGGGAAAGGGATGTCGCAGACGATCTTCTCCCAGTCCTTGGGACGGTTGCGCACGACGCGGATGAGCTCTTCCATGCAGTTCAAAGACATGCTGCACATCTTATGAGCCCATCCCATGTCCACGGAACCGTTGAGATGCTCTAGATCCTGTGTAGCGGGGTTGATCAGGATAGACCAAACGAAGTTCTCGTGAGTAGGAGACGGCTCTACGGGCGATGTGGCAGGCGTTCCTCCGTAGGCTGCACCCATTTGGAAGAACCGCTCCCAGACCTGGTCGAAGAGGCTTGCGAAGGGACTTGCTGGGACCCTGCTGCGAGAGTTTCCTGAGTCATACTGACCTTGACGGAAAGCCATCTCCTGTACAGCCAGATACTCGGGGATGTCGGTCATCGTGCGTGGAAATGCTGGCGCAGGGTTGACCATGGTGGATGGATGACGCTTGGACTTGCTGAACGATGCGTGACCAGATGAACGCCAGTTATCGGACCTCTGGCCTGTGTGAGAGATGCCACGTTGAGAACCAATGTCTTTGAGGTGGTTGGTCTTAGCCGGCGCCATCTTCTGCGTGTAGTCACCGTACTGCTGAGTGCCCTGGGGTAAAGTGAACGATGGAGACGCAAGAGAAGGCGGTATATTTCCGTTGACTGTCATAGGATGAGCTCGCTGAGGAGTTGTTGGCTTCGTGTATGTTAGCCACAGTCCCTCGACATGCTAGGATAAAGCGAAACCCACAAGCTTCTGCTTTGCGTGTGGCATCTGGCTGTTGACTGGTCCTCGAGAAGCATCCATAGGGTGGCGCATGGCATTGGTGTAGCTGAGCTGCGACGATGATCCTCCAGAAACGGAGTGTGAATCAGTGGACGCGCTTCCATTGGATCCGTCTTCTGCCACAGTAGGCAAGGACTGCTCGTCCCTCTCGAAGCGCGGACGGAGTGGACTGCCATAGCCACCAGTCGGGCTACCGCCTATGAACCTACCCTTGGTGGGCGTATGTGCCTCGAGTACTGTCAACAACAAGATTCCACAGCAGATGCAAGAGCAGACGAAACAGACGACGACTTACCTGAGGTGATGAGAGAGACATGACTTCCACAATCTTAGCAACAATGATGCGTTAACAGCGCTATAGCGGGTGCGGATGGTGCGGATCTTGGGGCGACGCGACCGTGTGAGCGTGGTGCAGTGGCGGAGGGAAGAGGGTGGACGCGGCGACGAAAGGCCTCGCCAAGCTGGCAGCTTGAGCAAACACGCTTCTAAGAGATTCCGTCGCGATAAGGTGAAAGTGAGAGCTCAAAGTGGGGCCCCGGACCCCAGATTCTCGTCGTGCCTTCTGCTTTGGTGGTCCGCGTGGTGAAGGTGAGTCCACGTCCGGAAGAGGACAGAGCGAAGACATGACACTGGCTTGCCCTCAAACCAGAGATTCGTTCCAAAGTTCAATTGAAAGCTGGTATAGCACGAAATTCTTCTGGGGAATATCGAGAACTGTAGTTTTTATTATAGAAAACCACGACGTAGTGTGGAGCCATAAGGACGAGAGCACCTCATACAAGAAAAAAAAACCGAACAGGACTGCAGGCTACGTTAAGCCAAAACCTTGCAAAGGCGGTAACCCAGCGCTAATGTAGGCTCCAGGCCGTTCAGTTTGTTCCTAGGTTGGCGTGAGAGTGCACACATGCGACCTGCACATTGGAAACATGAAGAGAAATTGCAATGCGTTTCATACTGAAATTGTGGAAGTAGAGCTTGGAACAGTGGGATTTCGACCTTAGAAGGCAGAGTGATCCCGGAGATTTGCGCGGTGATTGAGACAGAGCGACCGATGGAGACTGGACTGCTGAAGAGTTTTGGCAGAACGAGAGAGGAGCATTCGTGAGATTTAAGTGAAAGCACAGTACGTGCAAAGAGAGTCAAGTCCCCAAGGACGTGGAACATCGGCTATTCCTGAGTGAGTCGGCATTGCAAGAAAATTCCACCTCATCAAGGCCGATCGGCTATATGGCTTATACCACTAACGTCCGCGTGATGTGAGTACGACAAGCCACTATGATATTACCGACCTCACAGTTACTATGAATACCAACACTGGCTATGCGCAATTGATCACACGAGCACAAAGAAATTGCTTGTAGCCGAAATCTTTGTGTGCTGGGACCTTGCTGAGCTTTGCGATCTATCGCAATATGACTTCTTCAAAGACCTGCGTTCTGGAAAGAACCACACTGGGCGAACGATCTTTATGTGCGAGATGTGTATCACAAGTCTTGACGTTTTCGACGATGATGTAGTGGCGTCGAAGGGCCGAAGAAGCCGGAATCGTCCGACGAACATGCGCGACCAATCACGGGTTGGCAGTTGTCATAACCGAGGAAGCTTGAGTGGCGCCCTGACGCTACAACTTCGATGATAGCAACACTTTGATCTTTAAGCCCCAGCCCGCACTCTC